TTTTCTAAACTTTGATTACACGTTTTTCCAGCATATTATTTACTTTTCTGTTGACATTATTTACAAATGATCCACTACAAAATTCAAGCTGTTATGCAACAGGCAACAGGCAACAGGCAACAGGCAACAGGCAACAGGCAACAGGCAACAGGCAACAACGACATACGCCACGATGACGTCTTTTCCAATGTTTTCAACAACTTTTGATTTGTGAAATGTGTCTATATAATAAAAAGAAATTTAAACGTTGAAGATATGAAACTTCATATCTAAGCGCCACAGCTTAATATTCTCTATGTATACATGCTATGGTTCACAGGTCTTCGTTGTGCCGACAAGAGGAGTAAATGTCCAACGTATGCTCAGCAAGGAGAGTGTGTAAAGTCTGGGTGGGTTTTCCGTAACTGCTTGATCAGCTGTAAAGCCAAATGTGATACCCAGCCACTAAAACCAGACGGTATGTATGTATGTATARGTTTGTTTTGATGCTATTGGAAACAATTTATTATATAAATGCAGTTAAACCTCTCTAATACTAACACTAGGGACAGTCCGTATTAAAGAGGTGTATGTGTCATAGAGCCCTTTATAGACGAATAGTGCAGTAGGAAAAGGGAGTGTTGGTAATAGAGAGGTGTCCGTACTACATTAGCATTAGATGGAGGTCTGTTTTTAAATGAAACAGCGTACCATGTTTGTAATTCCTGTTTCTATAGAAAAAAGAAAAGAAAGAAGGATGAAAGGAAGAAAAAAGAAGCCAAGAAGAGATTAAGAAAAGAAAGAAAGAAAGAAAGAAAGAAAGAAAGAATGCAAGAAAGAAAAAAAGAAAGAAAGAAAGAAAGTAGGAAATATTTTTGTCTATTATGCCTGTTTTAGCATATCATATTTCATATCATGTGTTATACAGGTGACTGTGCTAATGCATTGGGTCTTGGATGGGACTTTACTCTACCTGACAGTGCGTTCACTTCATCTTCAACCCTTACACCAGGTAGCGTATCATACTATGTGAAGCTCAGTTTATAGCTCGTCTATTTAATGAATAAAAAAACGCGCGCGCATGTCTCTGTACTATGATATACACACGCTGGGAGTTATAAAGCACCAGAGAAGCAAGCTTAGGAACACGAGGCGTACCCACGAATAAATCTTTTTTTACGTATTTTAAAGGTGGTGGCTGGAGTGCACCAGCTCACTCAGCTAGGCTGTACTTCGAGGATGATCGAAACAGAAAGCTTATTGGTGGATGGTGTATGACGGCACGTGATAATAACCAATGGCTGAAGATTGATCTTGGCAAGGAGAAGAAGATAACGGGAATAGCTACACAAGGTATCGATACTATAGATCTATACTATGAGTGTAGGGGATGGGAGGGTAGGACAATTATGTTTTCGGGTGATTGAAGATATATAGGGATATGAAGATAACAGGAATATAGCTACACAAGGTATCGATACTATATGGATCTATACTATGAGTGTAAGGGAGGGGACAGTAGAATATTTATGTTACAGGGTGATTGAAGATATAGGGAATATGAAAATAACAGGAATAGCTATACAAGATATCGATACTAGCTATACTATGAGTGTTTATCTTGGAGAGGATAACCTCATGAGACGTTCTTGTGTTCTATCTGACAGGGCGTGATGTGTTTTACGAACATGTTGAGAAATACGAACTAGAGTTTAGCAGAGATGGCTCCAGCTGGACCAAATACCCTAAGGTAAATATATCAGGTGACCAAGATGGAAGCAACTACAGAAAGCAAATGCCATTCAAATATTTGCATATGCGGATTCGCGAGGTATTGTGTAGCTGTCAATTCGCCAATTCAACATGGGGGAATAAATAAGCTGGCTGTTGGCTGCTACTTTAAAAACTGGACATTTAAATCTAAGGGTGACACGCGAGTGAGAAAATTAATAAGTTGAGGTTTGCTAGGTTTAGAGCGGATTTTCATATTTAAAGGAATAGATACGGGAAATTTGTAGTCGTATAATGTGTTGTCTACAGCAGCCGGCCTCGTAGCTACGCACTTTGATAGGATATTAATTTTACATGACCATCTTTAGGGTTATATAAATGTTCATGTACACAATCTATCTAAGTAGGAGATGAAAACTGGTTGTGCTTGATAGCCTGTACGATTGTACGAAGGGTGGATAGTGCTATCCGACGGATAAATCTTATCCACTGGATAAACTTCTTGGACAACAGCATCGACTTTATCCAGCACTGGATAAGGATTTATCCGTTGGATAGCGCTATCCACTATCCCTTCGTACAACCGGACTCCGATGGGGATGATGCTGATGACGGTGGTGATGATGGTAATGGTGATGATATTTTTAATTTGATGATAATAATGATGGTGATGATGATGATAATGGTGATGAGGATGGTAATGAGGATGGCAATGGTGATGAAGACGACGATGATGATGATGATACTATTTAGATGATAATCGGGTTGTGGTGATAATGATGATATTGATGATGATGATGATAATATTATTTTGATGATAATATTTTGATATTGATTGTAGTGATGATAGTGGTGATGATGGTAATGGTGATCATATTGTGATGATGAAGATGGAGACGAGGATGATGATGATATTTTGTTGATGATCGATGATGATAATTATGTCGATAAGGATGATCGATAAGGATGGTGACGGTAATATGTTGATGATGATGATGATTCTGATGATAAGGGGAAGAATGATATGATGATGTTGATGATGATTCTGATGATGGGGGAAGGATGATGATGATGATGATATTTTGTTGATGATCGATGATGATAATTATGATAAAGATGATCGATAAGGATGATGATGGTGATATGTTGATGATGATTCTGGTTCTGATGATAAGGGGAAGGAGGATGATGATGATGATGGTATTGATGATGATGCTAATGATTGTTATTAACATTTCAAATCGTTTGTTAAGGTGTTTAATGGCAACTGTGATCACTTCACTCCAGTACTAAACAGATTCAACACTCAGGTTGCTCGATATGTCAGGGTCCTACCGTACAATCTGCCTAATCAGTATGCTTGGCCTTGTATGCGCGTTGAGCTGTATGGATGTTAATCAAGGTAACTAAAAACGAAAACGAAAAACGATGGAAATATGTATCGCCATGTAGAATGACGTAATGAAGGACAAGCCGCTAGAGGAATCATAATTTACTGCTAGGCATGTTTTGTATAACAAATATTTCTGGGTCCGGTTGTACTATTGTATAGCAGCATCGACTTATCCACTGGATAAGGATTTCTCCGCCGGATAGCGGTATCCAGGCTTTGTACAACCAGGCCCAGAGGTATAATTACTTGACTTGACCTGGCTTGAATTTCGTTATCTTTTCTCTTCTCTTCTCTTCTCTTCTCTTCTCTTCTCTTCTCTTCTCTTCTCTTC